GCTAATTCATAGCCATATGCATCCTGCCTTTTAATAACAATATGCATCTTGCTTTTTAATAGAAAGCAGACTAAAGAGAAGTGTTTTTAAAGTGCAGGCAGGTTGGACTACATTCATAAGATTTGGATAAAGATTTCTCAGGATGCTAAAATGAATTTGATCCCAAATTTTATTTCCAGTTCACAAAACACAACTTCCTGGGGTGTATATGTTAGTTGACTTGTAGCTCAGCACATTCTGGCTTTGGAAAAAGATAAAGCAAAACAGTAACGAAGAAGACTCTTACATAAACAAGCTTCAGGAAATATTAAGAATTGCATTTGGGAAGGCATCAAGCCAAGCATTTCTACATCCTCAGCTTGCTTTGCTCTAAACTGAAGACTCTCATTCTGTTTCCTGATCCTCTCTCCCATGACTGGGTTAGATCTCCCATCACACAAGCTCTGTTTCAGGTAGGAAGCAGAATGCCTTTAAAAAAGAAAAAGGAAAGTAAAATAACAGACACACCTGTGCATTTAAAATGTGACTTCCACTCACCCCCTGCCATATTGCTACAGAAATATTGTGTTTATTTATATATAAATAAATACACTTTTTTATCACTGCAACTTGTAAATAGGAAATGAAGTCACAATCCTCAAAATTATAATGGCAGGCACACAAAGACACAGTTACTGGCACGGAATTCAATTAACAGATAGCAATCACCCTTGGGTGACTGTGTGAGGTGGAAATATACAGGCATGCTAATAACTAATATCTTAAAGCCAAGGCGTTTATCAGCCAGCAGCCAGACATGGGCATAAGTGTGGGCAGGCAGCAGTGCTCTGGGATATTTAATAAAACCTGCTCTCTTCATTTGAGGATTTGTGTTTAATCATTTGGTAGCATTTTAGAAACATCCAGGCTGGGAAGCTTCTTAAATGGAACTGCTTAGGTCAGAAAATGTAGAGAGTTATTTACTGATACTAAAACAGCTAAAGGAACAGAGTGGATTCTAGGTAATATTAACAAAATTCTTTGTTGCCATCTTTTTGACCTTTTGAGTTTCTGGGGTATGCCTGCTATGTGAATCACAGCCTTATCTGGGGAAACATGCAGAAGGTGTTCATTAGAACTGCAAAAGCAAATGATTGAACTGCTGTTTAAAATAAAATTTTTAACTCTTTTTTTGCTTGGTTGAATGCCTAAAGCTAAAATAGTTTTCTTCTAGGCTGCTTGAACTTTAATTTGCATTGCATTTTGGTCTTTCAAAGCCTTCAGGCAGGCCAAGGTTTGTCATCCTCTGAAAGATGTTCAATTTAAACTTCCTCATCAGGGCTCTCTTTGTGCCACAGCAGCCAGGTGAATTCGCAGGGCTGTTTTGCATGGTTAAATACCACTGCTTGGAGGAAAGGCAAACTCAGAAGACAAGTCATGGGTTTCTTTAAAGGAAGGCAGTTCGATTTAGTAAGATGCTTGTTAAGAGCTTTATGCAGAAGAAATGTGAGGCATGGTATTAGTACATTCTTGGGTAACTCTCTAGGATTAAAGCTTTCATCAAATGAAAGCAGTTTGGAGCAAGGCAAATGGAGGTCAGCCAGCCTAGTCCTGGGACATACAGGAAGCAGCATATGTCAGCCATTACCAAGACAGGACGGAAGCTTTTGGCTATGAAGCCCATGGTGTTGCCAATAGATGCTCTCACTGCTTTTGGTTTTGCCTCTGTTCTGAGTAAGCAGTCATGCCTTTTGTGCTTGCCAGCTCTGCCCCTAAAACTGGGCTGGTGGCAGCAGGAGGTATCCAGTGCTTCAGAGCACCCTTCTGAGCATGCTGCACATTGTCCCTCTCATTGGTGTGGCTGTCTGCTTTGCTTTGGATCAAACATTTCTGATGTCCACGTGGGCTGTGGTGCTCACCAACAGCTACATAGCAGCTAAAGCAATGGGGTGATTGTCCAGCTCTCAGAGTCTTACTAATTTTGGTTTGCTAAGGGAATCAGCAAAGGCAAAGGTGGGCTGAAGCAAACGCTAAAGACGGACTGTGGACATGCTACAGGGAACCTCTAGCAGGTACTCTCAGTACCTGTTTCTTTACCCTGGGGTATTCATGTGATCTACAAATCAGTGGCCAAAGCCCCCTCTCCCAGCGATTTGCCACACTGCTGGCATTCAGCCCAGCCTGGGCTGTGCTCAGGAAGCTGTAAAGTGGCTCTGAATAGCTGCTGTGAAGCCGTCCCTGCATTACTCCTGTCACAAAGAGTTTTCAGTGCCCGCCTTGCTAATGGATGAGTTTCTCTTATACAAAGTGCCGAACAATGTGGTGATACATTCAGGTTTTATTAGTGTGAGTTTAGCATGGCCACATTATTCATAATGGAAACAGCACAAGAGAACTGCATTGTTCAGCCCAAACCATAAATCCTGTAAACCACGCAGTGCTGTCGGATGGTGTGTTTTCACCACTTATTTTGCAGGAAAGCTATTTGTATTCCCTCTGTATGTAAACCCAAGCTGTCTTAATATTGCAAGCCCAAACTGTGTTGGTGGAGGTAATAACAACAAAAAATTACAACCAGTACATTTTAGGAAACTCAGTCATAACTCTGTGATACCAAGGCTCAGTACCTGCTGTCATGTGAGAGGGGAGCGATGCTGTGGTAGGGTGGCATGGGGCTGAGCCCCTGTGTGCTGCTGGAGTGGGGGGCTCAGCCTGTACCCACCTGAGAGCTATGGCAGTGGAGCCTTGTGGTTACTTGAGGTCTGAACATTGATCTCCTTTGCTGTGAAGTGTGAATGTGTGGGTCTCCATGTATATGGGACAAGGAGGTACTTTGTGCTTCTGCTTGCTTGGTTTCCGTTTACATAGAGCAGCTGCAATAACGGGACATGTGAAGTATGCTCAGTGGAGATACATCAGTGGGCAGAGCACAGGTAAGTTGGTCAAAAATTCAAAACAATTGTAATTTACTGTAAGGAGGACATATCACCTGCCTGACATAAATCAGGCTTTGCAGGTGAGGGAAGCAGTTCAAACTGTATGTCGATTTGCTGCCATGCTTTCCTATGGAGACTGTCACCCAAGAAGCCATCCTGAGTTCACAGTGAGAGCAAGCAGCTGCTCAGGAGGACCTGGGCTGAAGCAACTGCTTTCCTTCACCTAGGCATCAGGTGACTGCTAGAGAGATGAAGCTGACTTTTGTGTGCTTCTGCACCAACCTAGTGACCCAGAAGTGAAGGGCTACACAAGCTATTACCAGTCTTTTCATCTACCACCTCTTGCCAGACTCCTGTCCCTGCTCCAGCATCTTCTGCAGTGCCTGGAAGCCAGGCAGTGGCTGCCCCCACACCACCCACAGCCAGAGCACTCTTTCTGTGGTACCACACAGCACCCAGTAAAGGAAATGTTCATTAAGAGCTGTGAACACTCTAGACGGTGTTACTACCTGACCCAATGGCTCAGGGGAATTACAGAGTGGACTTTTGCTACTTCTGCAGGAAACACTGCCTGAGCTTGTGGAGAACCTCCTGTTCTCTCCTGCATCTGACCCTTTTGGGTGCAACCATTACAACAATTAACCCTGAGCTGAGAGAGGATCCTCTGATTTTCCAAGCCTTACATGTGAAGCATGTAAGCCTCTGCACTCCTCCACGTACTTTGTTCACTGTTGGTATTAACACTGGAAATGCTGACAGCAGCTACTAAAGGTTCAGTGTGTTTGTAGAAAACCAAAGGCATGATGCTCCCTTCTCCCTCTCCTCTCAGTGTTTCAGGGAGAAAATGCCCCCTGGATAGATGCAGAGTATAAGTTAACATTTCTCTCAGAACATGTGCACTTATGCAAAAGGCTGAAAGGATACCTTTTACTATCCTAGTACAGTGCTGCTCCTCTTCATTCACTGCTTGGAAGAGCGTCTGAGGCTTCGGCAGCATTGGTTATTATGCAGGGCATGTGTTTTAAAACGTTAAGTACCTTGATTGTCTCTCTCATAGCTAGTGCTGTCAGCAGTTTGCGCAGAGCTTTTATGTGTCTTTTTCCTCCCTGAGATACCTGTGTTCAGTTCAGAACTGATTCTGCTTCTGAAGCAATTCATTAAACATCTTCAGTGCTCCACTTCTGTGAAGAGGTCAATTTGTTTTTTCTGCCTAGAGATGCAAAACTCTGAGCTTCAGTTGTAAATGCAAGTACTAGATGCATTTCTCGCTGTTTTACTTGTGCTTCCCTCCAGTCTATCCTCTCTAGTGATCCCTTCCTTTAACATAGGCATTTATTATTCATGAAATGTGGAGACTGATGCTACTGTATCAGTCGAGGGCAGGTGCAGTTGGGTAGCCTGGCATGCACACACTGCTCCATTCACCCTCTTCTAGAGGAGACATTTTTTAAAGGAGAGAAAGTAGCTGTTTCTTTCTCCTGTGTTCCTTTGTCCTCCTCACAAGTTACTAGCATGGTGGTGGGCTGGTACGTGCTCATGGGATAAGGTTCCTGGAGCACCACTGGCCTGAAGGTGATTCCTAATGCAGTTCATGCACAGGCTGCTGGATTCATGCACAGGTTGGGAGTCTCTGGCTTTTGGTCCTCTCTGAGGTGGCTTCTCTGGTAGTTAAAAATGGGACTCTGGGAACGCATCCTGTCCCCAAAAGCAATTTGGTAAGGTTTTTTCCTGCTGTACTGCTTGAAAAGTGGATTCATCCATAAGTCTTCAGGTAGTTGTTACCTATATATCTCCAACCTCCCAGGTCCAAATGCCCCTCTGTCCAATACGATAGTTGTTTTGGGGCATTGTTACATTATTTTTGTTTGGGGTTGTTTGTTTTAATCCAGTTATTTCTAATATGTAAAATGATATGGTTCATATCTGCACATACCAGTTATAATAGGCTTATTATTAAAACACAGGTTTTGGGACGAAGATAGACCAAAAGTTAACCTTGCCTTGACCTTGTGAGGTTCCTAGGTAAACAGGATTTTTTACTTTCTTCCATAATTCTTACCATTCACTTTTATTTTACTGTTGCAGCTAGGAATATGGCTCAGGGTGTTTGGCTAGACCACCAGCTCTGGAGGGAACAGGTTTGCTGACATAAAAATTGGTAGGTCTTCTTAAAGTTATCCTTAGGTCTTTGGTAAATATTTAGTGCCTAGGTCTGGAACAGCAGATTAGGAAGTAAATGGAACCATTTATACTGGAATATCAGACATATTATTTAAACTGTTATCCAAAGACAAGTATGGGCATATGGGATTATTTTCTCTTAACAGTGATTTCTTTGGTTATATTCTTACTGTACTTCTTGCAGTAGTTACAGCTTTTTTATTTTTTTTTTCAAGGTTTTTATGTAATGTAAGTGATTAAATATGATTTTCTGGGCTGTATTTTGCATACGATATGGTTTCTGTTTGGAAAACTGGTTTCTTTTTTCTTTTTTTCCACTTTTTTAAAGGCAAAGTCAGACTGGTTATTTAAGAAGCAAAACTGATTGCAAAAAGTAGCTAGAGAGCATAAATCAGTGGGGTCTTCAGGAGCAACAGACAGAGCTAGCAGCTTGTGAAAACTTTGCAATTATATTCCCCTCAATATAATAGTATTTTCGTTCTTTCTTTTATCGTAGGAAGGATCTTCAGAAATCACTAAAAATGCCCAATTCTCAAGGATGCTGATCAACTCATTATTCTTTGTTTTGATTCACATGAAATATTTTCAGCCTGTGGTTCATTTCCAAAAAACAAAACCAAAAAACTTGAACAGTAAGTGGTGCCTCACATCTCCTGTTGGAAAAGATTTCAAAAGCTCGTAAAATGTCTCCAGCTCATACAATATATCATGTCATATTAATTTATGGTAGTCAATGAACAGTAGGAAATGGTGGAGGAGAGAGATGGAGAGCCTGCAATATTCGGCTTTATTCAGAACCGTATATCAGAGGGCTTTTTTTTTTCCTTTACACACAACTCAGGCACAGCATCTCCTCTTCCTTGCTTCAGGAAAAAAAGAGAAAGAAAGAAAAAATCCTCATATTTGTATTATATTATGTTCTCTAAGTCACAAATTCCCTCTGCCAACTATCTGTGGGTGTGCAGCCCTTCCTCGGGAACATGCTGTATCTTCTGAGTTCCTGTGTTTGCGATATCACAGTGCTTTTGCTCTGCAAAGCCATGAATGGGGCCATTATGAGGGGCAGCTAGATAATTAAGATTCTGAGAGGGGTAGGCTGCTAAAAGCGTGTTTAGTGAGGAAATTACAAGGCCAATAAAAAAAAATGTCTTTGCAAGTTCCGATTGTATTCTTTGCTTCTGTGGGTCTAATTTTTCAAGGTCTGGCTGGATCATGTTGAGGTTTTCTTTCATCCCTTTTTTTTCTTTCCACAACAGGAGCTGAGGCTAGAATCTAAGTCCAAGTTAATGAAGCTGCCTCAAAGTTGAGGAGGGAGAGAATAAACCACAGCTCTGAGGCACAGACCACTGGAGATTCCTCTTTCAAACCCTGCCTCTGCCGCTCACTGGAGTTATTTGATTTGGGAACAAGATAAGAATTCACAATATCTGATTTGTAGAAATAACCCGGAGGAAGGAGAAGCAGTCAAAAATACTAATTTCAGATATAATTTTTGTCTCTCAGTTTCCTAATACTCTTTTTCAGCATTAATAGCATTAACCAAATATAAAGCTCAGACTTGGAGGAAGTTGTGCACCGAGAGTAACAAATGCATCTCCAAATAGCCCACAGTTCAGCACTTCTTATTCTGTCAATACTCTGTGACCAGGGAAGGTTTGGAGCATAATTCTCTCCTACTTATTCATTTTCTCACTTTCTTTTTATTTTTTTCTTCCCCGATAAGAAATACACCTGGCAATTCATTGCTGATTTCCCAGGAGTGTTATTCATGCCACTTTATTTATGTATTTATTATTCAAGTGCAAACTACTGAAGTTCCTTTTGGTAACCTGCAAATCAGGTTTTATGGGGCTTCCCATCACACCAAGTGCTGTAGAGCCAAATGCAGGCATTGCGGTTGCTATTACCCCATAGTGAGGGACTGTAAGCCTGCTTGATGCTCAGGACTGCCCAGGCCTTGCCTAGCTTTGGGAGAGAAAAGTAGTCAGCAACCTTAAATTAAGCAAAGTCTCTGCTATAAATGCCCAGCTGTGGCAGTGGAATAGCTTGTCCTCTTTCTTCAGTGTTGGTAATGTATCATTGGCAGGCAATGGGCTTGCATTTATGGCTGACTCTTTCACATGCTTAGACTTCAGGCTTCAGATTTGAAGTCAGAGTGGTCTGTGAGACCACAGTTGACTGAAGTCAGGGTGGTCTGTGAGAAGGCAAGGCCACTGTGCCATTTATCCATTATCCTGCTTCCCTCCATGGGTGGTGATGCAGCCAGGTATTTCAGTGCCTCTCTTGATGCTGAGCCCCTACAGCCAAGGGGGACCAGGAGGCAGAGTCTCTCATCACTGGACAACTCAAGGAAGGTTTGTGGGGTGGGTATGTGTCCTGCAGGTAATGGCTTGGGTGAAACCACACTTCCCAAGCCAGACACATGGTGGGTATTGCCTGTGGTGACCATAGCCATGCTCTTTCTCTGAAACATAAGACATCCTTCCCCCTTCAGAGGTTCAGATGCATGTGCCGCCTGTTGTCACACACTCAGAATTTGGGCTTCAAGTTTTATGTTGATTATAGTTATTTATTAAGATTGCATTTTAATAATTTTCCTTGGCATCTTGTTCTGCATGCCTTCACAAGGATTTAATTGTCTTCAACAGACCATTTGATACAACTGTGTTTTAGCTTGTTAGTGTAATAATTTATTGTGTTAAAGTGTCAGAACTGCAACTTGGAGAAACCTACAATAAGGCTGATAAGAAAGGGACAAAGTCAACTTGGAATGTGGTCAATTGCGAAATAAAATTGTCTCAATTATATCCTTTGTTTCTATGCTCCCTTCTTCCTATTGTTACTTTTTCACCAATATTTCTGAAGATTTATGCACATCCATGTTACACATTCCTTTGTTACTGTGAAAAACCTACACAAATGAGGTTCATTGATTACACAGAGGAAGAAGTGAAATTCCTGTCAAATGCTTTAAAAAATCCAATCAAAAGAGTTGTCATTTTTCTTTAGTGGTTTATTATTTTTCCTTTCACAACAAAGGATTAAAAGGTAATTTTGATATTGCTGTGTTCCTTTGCAAGCTATATTGGTTTCCGTATGGTAGGAATCTCAGTGAGAATATGCTGATTTACGGTAGCAAAGTCCTAATTGCTTATTTGAATGCCATCTTGCTGTGTTATCTTACAGATAACATAAAGACATTATTTATAGAGACATAATGTTCCTGTGTTTTTCATGTGACCGTGTCTCATCTGCAAAGTTCAAATTTCATTGCCATTCCAGGAAAAGTTACTGGTGAGAAAAGTTTGAACTTTAAATGGATTTTCAATTTTGAATAGGACCCATTTTTTTATGTGTTGAAAACCAGGCTTAGATCCAAACACTTCTGAAACTTCAGATTCAAATTTGGATCTAGACTGAATCGTGCAACTTAAATCTATTTCTGATATAGAGGTAATTCAGTGAGCAGAGTGTACATGCACATGCAGATGCATGCATGCACACATATAGACACAACACGTGTGTATTGATGCATAATCCCACAAATGCATGCTTCAGGGTTGTACTTGTAAATAATAAGTGATTTATTTATCTTCAGGTAGAATACCATCAGTGTTGACTATATTTCCTAAAAAAAAATTCAAATTTGAAAATAATTTCTTGAGTAGCTAAAGAAGTCACTGGTGAAAAAAACCCAAAAGAATCAACTGTGTTTTTTAAAAAAAATACCTTTTATTGCCATATGCTAGATTTTAGACATGTCTAAATCACTTTTACATAACTAAGGTATTTTTAAATGTTTAGTAGTTCCTTACCATTGTTCTGTACTGATATCAATATAAAGCTTTGGTTTGAGGAGAACCATAATAAAAAGGAGGACTCTTTTTAGGTAGCTAATGCAAGGTAAATGATTCAAATGTTGGAAATGTAAAGCAGTGATTGGCAGGAGGCGGGAAAGCATGTTGTGTGGAATAGGTAGGGAATCAAAACATGGAAATGAAGTAGACATAGAAACGTTCTGGTTATTTTGGAGAAAATCACTCTCTGATGTTTGGTTTTGCAGAAACAAAGACAGGGTGGCCTGCATTTGAGTCCTGTTTTACCAGCAAATCCAGTGTTCAGGATCGTTTGCATAACCAGTTCCAGCTTTGGCTCACGTCTGTTCTGAATATGCAGTTTGGGTATTTTTCAGTTCCCTCTGGGCTGGCAGAGAAAAAGATATGTAGCACAGACAACTGAAGGAGGTGATTTGTTTAACTTCTGCTAGCTTGTATGGATCCCTGTCCCTGAGGGGAGCAATGTTCAGCCACCCTCATTCCCAATACTGACTGGTGTACTAGGCAGAAAGTACTGCTGTCACAGAGGGAAGATGCTCTGTGCTTAGTGCTTTGAGCACCTATTTATAAAGGTTTTAAACAACTTAGGAGCATATTAGAGCTGTCTCCTAAAAGCAGGGAAAGCTCTGAAAATGGTGCAGGTTCCAGCTTGGCAAGGTAAGGCTCCAGCTGACACAGGAAAAACAAGGAAAGCAGCCAAGTGTTATATGCCTCCCCAAACCCTCATCTATAAGCTGGTGCTAAACGTTTGCTGTACTACAGACTTTTCCTATGAGAACACCCAAATGTATAGTTAGCACCCCAAACCACAGGAGCTGACTTTCATCAGCAGGTTTGTGGCCTTAGGGAGCTTTGGAGGTTGGTTTGTTTGTGTGTTTGGTTGGTTTGTTGTTATTTTCTCCGTCTCAATGTGACTTCAGAGCAGGACACAAGCCTTAAAAATGGAGAAAAGCAACCTTCGGCTGCATTTTCTCTCTCACCCGTGGACATACTCAAGTTTAATTAAAAAATGGCTGCGCTGATATTTGGTTAATGCCGGCATTCCAAAGACCCACACAAGATTGCATCCCCCGGTGCAAAGTGCTCTGCAAATACAAGGTACGAGGCAGCTCCTCCCCCCAGGTATTTGCCTTCTCTGTTCGTAAACTGGACAGAGGGAGGATATCATGGCTGAGGCAATGCAAGGGGGTAACAGGCAGCTGAAAGCAGAGCCCAGTTCTCTCTGTCCTGGTTCCCTGCACTACGAGCTTTGCTCTGGATTGCTTTCTGCTTTCCCACAGCAGCGCTCTGTTGCACTAATTGGGATTAGGCCCCCATTGCACTTAATGCTTCCTGAGCACAGAGGAGGAAGCAAACCCAGTCATGAAAAGCTCAGCAGTTGTAGCTGCTTAATTGATGGGGTTATTTTAAATCCAGTCAGTTAAATTGCTGCGGACACCCTTTATTATAGCCTAGGCAATTTTATTTCAAGTTAGCTTTAATCAATCAGGAATTGATTTTAGCTAAGTCAGTATAAGAACATCTGATCTGGTTTAACAAAATTGGTTTTCGAGAAGTGAAATGGGTGCAGATTCAGCACAGGCCCAAGGAAGGCTTTCTGCTTTTGCC